TTTGGACATCTTTTGTTCAATATTGCTTATCAAAATATTTCCCACTTTTGAGATATAAAGCGTCAAAGATTTAGCATTCTGGCCCCTAATTATGTAACAAATGATGTGAATATCATAATATATAGTTGTAAATTGTTGAGATAAACATTTTTGCTTCAGTAATACATTACAAATTATTGATCGTTCAAGAGTTATTGATTAAAGACTTTTGGCCCTTCTCAGCCCCTAATGTGATGAGTCAGCCCTTTTTCTATGATATCATATAAAAGATCTTGTAATTCTACACAATTTTTGTTCAATATGCATTAACAAAATACTCATAGTTAAAAAGTTGTCGTAAGAAATGTCTCTAAAATTCACTCATGATTCGTTTCCTAAATTTTGACCCCTACCGAGCTTCCATACTAGGCACTTCCTGAAGATTTGAAAACCCAGGTGATCAATGGTAACATGTCCTCTATCATTGCTGAAAATTTCAGCACTCTAGCTTTTATCGTTTTTGAGTTCCATTGCAGACAAGGAGGTCCTCTGAATTTTGATCAAAGGGCGATAACTTCCGACCGGAAGTGAATTTAAAAAAAATGAGAAAAACGTATAAGGTTCAGACAACGATCATTTTCCCTGAAATTTTCAAGTAAATCGATCGAGCCAACTCCGAGAAATCTTCTGCACAAAAATTGTAAAGATAAAAAAAGAATAATAATAATAATAATAAAAGTGAAAAAAGAAACAATAGAATAATAGAAGGGTCTTCCGTTGGAGACGGAAGCCCCTAATAATAAAAGTGAAAAAGAAACAATAGAATAATAGAAGGGTCTTCCGTTGGAGACGGAAGACCCTAATAATAATAAAAATAATAACGATGATAAAATTAATAATAATAAATAACAGGAAAATATATGTACATGTACCGTAATTAAATTTCATCCGTTTTTTAGTGTTGAGGATTGATTCCATCCTGAAAAGTTTCGCCCCGGCAAACATGGTGTAATACGCATTTCCCTTTGAGGAGCAAATTACGTGCACATACAACCCTTCAAGTTTTTGGCTAAGCGATTTACGATAATTTTCTTTTGCATACCATATAACTTTTACGATGACTCATTTTGATTGACTCTTAGCTGTTTAGTAACACTTACAATATAAATTATTCCTTTCATTTGGTATCGTATTTAGTTTGTTCAAAGACATTACACATAATCACATCAGAATTCAGACTGTCATTTAATAATAGGTCCGATCTTGGTTCATACATGTACGAGGTTTACGTACAATAGCATGCACTTTGAATTAATCTACTTGATTCGTACCTGTAGACTATTTATGAAGTTATTTTCAGAGAATTATACGGGAAACGACGCAACGTCGCCTTTATGACGTAACTGTCGTCATAATCAAATATGCACAAAACAAACCTTCGAATCGTCATAATTGTGTACCAATATTGATGACAAAAGCAAACCCGCGACCTACCTTAATGTTTGACTTATTTTTGAAAAAAAAAACTTTAACCTTTTCCATATCCTTTCAATGGTTGCTGCTAGGGCTTTCATATTTCACAGGTATATTTCTCAAAACGAGACCTTACATTGGGGTAGCAACATAACAATCTATTGCTATAAGTTGCCATATGGGGTCATCAGTGTTTCACAAACACTTCTTGTTTTTTTTCTTAAAGTACAATGATTCGGACAAGTTTGAATTTATTCAACACGATATTTCAATGTCTTTCAGCATAGTTAAATAAAAAAGACACGGTTCTTGAGCAAACTTAAAAATAAAATCCCTTAAAATACAGCATTTAAGATTGACGCCCCCATTTCCGAAAAAGAAGAAAATAATTTTTTAAGTGAGGAGATCTGAAAATATTCAACTGCGAAGCAAAAAGTGGATGATATAAAAAACCTTATGTTATTGTTTTTAAGAATTTCATTATGTACGTTAAACATTGCTACCCTTTTCTTTTTAACACACCTAATGTTTTGTCAATTTAGAAGTGACTTTGAGACCACGCTCTTTGCCCAAGGATGATGCCTTGAAGAATTCTTATCTACAAAATATCCTCATCCGTGTGGGTAAAGTTAGTGATAATCTGCCCAGTGGTTCTTTAGAAGATTTTTTAGCAACCACAACTTTTGTTTTTTTTCCCTAATTATGTCCCCTTGCTTAAGGTCATATACCTATTTTTAAAATGAAAGAGAGCCTTGGGCAGAGGGTTTCTTAAGATGTGATCCATATTCCGGAGTTGACGCACACCGCACAAATGGCTACAGTGTTAGCTCTTTGAGCCTTTGAAAAAGCTAACAAATCATAGAGTATATTTGTTTACTTAGTGCTAATACACACCTAATTGTCACTATCAAACATACAAACTAAAAAATCTTTCAACTGCCGATTTTATTCGATGTTAAGAATGATAACTCATTACCGGAAATTGTTTACAGCAGTAGGGAAATTGCTTTTTCAAAAGATGTCAAGTTTAAAGTTTTCAAAGTACGTCTTTACTGTTAGACATTGTTTTTAAATTCAGCTTATACGGTAAAGTAATTTGTTACTTTATAAGCGAAATTTATAAAAATCTTGAGTGAAATGCACCCCCTTCTTCTTAATTTTAACCAAATAAATCTAATCATTGTCCGTTCTTCATCGTGCCTAGTATAAGGTAAATGATTATTTTATATTGGTAATTGATAAATTGAATTCCTGAGATACATATAATTATAGAAAAAGCACAACAATGCCACACAAAAAATATGACACTTTTTTTCTTCTTCTTAACAAGTTTCAGAGAGAATTATATATCTTGAATACACTTATATTTATCTTGTTGTGCCAGATAGAGTGACGACATTCTCCTTGTACTGATTATCCGTGTACTAATGCCAGGACTAAAGCAGACTATATGCTTTTCCTATCCACGATTAACTCAGTCTCAAAAAAGCAATTTCCTGATCTTTTTTTTTTTTTACACTTGAGTTATCTTTTCCTTAAAATAGCACGTCCTACAAATCAATTGATGATTATTTGATTTTGTATCATTCAATTATATATATAGATCGATTTTAAGAATTTTGTAAGGTTTTTAGTACTTATAAATCTATCTATCAAATGTTCTTCACCATAGGTGCAACTTGAAAGTCAAGATGAAAGGCCTTTAATTAGCATTTGTAGTTATCCCATTCTTCTAACTTTGAACATTTTATGCACAAAGATTTTTTTTTGGTCTCGTTTTTATATTGCTATTATTTACAAGTCTATCTAATCACTAACAACTATGAAAGTATTTTTTGGCTTTATATTAAAAATTATTGTAGATATATTTTTTAATGAATTGACCTATCAGACACATTATTTACAGTGATTAATTATCATAGGTGAAAAGTAATTAAAGGCAAAGACAACCACGTCTAAAAAAGTTTATGTTCGAGGTTTGGACAGAAGCCTCTGTGCCTTCAGTTCAGAAGAGAAAACAAATTAAAGGATGTAGAGATCGTTTAGATTACATTATATTTATTAAATGCAAGCCTGTCATAGAAACGCCCCCCCCCCCCCTCCCTCATCCAAATTGTCTATATAAAGTGGCACGATTTTTTTATGTGCATCACGCAGAAATCCACAAATGTGCATCACACAGAAATTCACAACTGGTTGAAAATGAAATTTTGAGGTACAAATTGTCATGCATGCTGAGGATAGACGGATTAAGTGTCCTCCTCCTATACTGTTGTGCTAGCTCTGAAAAGATATCCGCGGATCAGATGTGAGACGTAAAAATTCCATGTAATGTGACTGATTATTTTCCGTTCGTACTCTGTCTCGGTTAATAAAATTTAACTGTATTGGGTTACTAGAATAATGATTGATTGATTGTATATTGTTTTACGTCCCATTCGAGAATTTTTCACTCATATAGAGACGTCACCATATACCGGTGAAGGGCTTCAAATTTTGACCTTTACTCGGCACTCAGGGCCATTTAGCAGTGAGGGATCTTTATCGTGCCAACGACTGCCGTGACACGGGGCCTCGGTTTTTAAGGTCTCATCCGAAAGACCCGCAACTTTCACTCCAAAGGGCCGAGCGCATGGCGAAGGAACAGTTGCAACCTATTTTTTATCGACTTAGGTCTGTCGCGGCCGAGATTCGAACTCACGACCTCCCGATCACGGAGCGTGGTTACTAGAATAGTATAATACAAGATATGTTTGTAAAACACTGATGCCCTCATACAGCAGCATATGGCGAAGGTTAAATGTTCTCAAATTCAAGTCAAACTCCAAGGATGATGTCAAGAGATCAAAAATATTGGTACCCAAAGGTCTTGTCACAAGAAACACACCCTGTGAAATAGGAATACCCTAGCACTAACTGTTCAAAAGATATGAAAAAAAGGTTAATTTTTTTTTCAAAAATTAGTCAAAGTCAGAGGTTAAGGTGAACGGGTCAAAATAGTTGGTACCAATAGTCTTGTCATAAGGAATACACATTTATAATATGAAAGCTCTAGCACTCATCGTTTAAAGTTGTGACAAAGGTTAAAGTTTATCAAAAGGAGTTCAAACTCTAAGGTTAAGGTCAAAGGGTAAAAATAGTTGGTACCCTAGGGAAGGTCTTGTTATAAAGAATACACATGTGAAATATGAAAGCCCAAGGACCGACCGTTCAAAAGTTTTGGCGAGAGTTAAAGTTTGGTTAGATTTTGCAAAAGTGGGTCAAACGCCAAGTTCAAGGACAACAAGTCAAATATGTTGGCACCCAGAGAGAGATCTCTTCACAAGATTACACACGTGAATATGAAAGTCATAGCTTCAACCAATCAAAAGTTATGGGCAAGGTTATAAAGTTTTTGCAGACAAACAGACAGACGAACAGACATAGCAAGCAAAATCTATATGCCCGAAGTCTTCAGTTACCGGGTGAGTTCGGTTTATACCATTTGTTTTTCATTAATTGAGAATTAAGGTAGACATTGAAAAAGTAAAAGGAAGGAAAATCCCTACCTGTCAGAATTTTCAAAAATGGGAAAGAAGTTCGTCCTTGGCACGTCCCGAAATCCACTATGTTGATGGGACGGTCAATCTCTGAATCAAGCCCTGACAATTGAAAAGAATGCAAATTTTTAAAAAAAAAAAGTAATTCATACGTTTGCATTTGAATTTTTGAAAACGTGTGCTTTTAGTCTATATTTGTTTAGAATCAAAGGATATTTATATCTAAATAAAGCCAGGTGCTACTCACTTAAAAGTTTAAGAACAGGTCCCACACAGGGCTCAAGAAGAATATGAAAATTATCCGGGAATATATCGGCCATCATTTTATATTCCATCTTAAATTACTCTCATTCACGAATCGGGTAAAGGTTATTGTTTCATTTTCAGGGCTTCGATTGCTTTAAAAGTAAATTTAAAATATGCATTTAAGACGTAAGACGTGCAAGTGCATAATTTCATGTGAAATTATCTATAACTTCTCACCCCTTTAGTGATAAACTGCGTACATTTTTTAACTTAGTCAGACACTATCTTCAACGCTTTCGGAATATTTAAGTGCGCCTGAATAAATTACCATACATTGACGTCTTTTTCTAATAATTCTCTCTTCTTCTTTGTTATTTAGAACAAGAACACTGACAAGTCAGCAGGAGGCCCGCAGAGGGAAATTTATCGACGGTGGGTGCATCGTAACTGTTGACAATCTGATCGCGTACATTCGTTTGTGCAATCGTTCGTGTAACGTGCTTAATCGTTCGTTTAACGGGCGTGATCGTGTATGCACCGGGTACTACTATTTGCAGTTTTAATCGTGCGGGAAGAAACATGTAAATTTCGTTTTGTGATTTTCTTTTTATCAGAATGTAAGTGATAACAAATCTTGTAGCCATTTTGTTTGGCGTCCGTCTGTCTGTTTGTCCGTCTGTAAACTTGTCACATTTCCAACTTCTTCTCAAGAACCACTGGGCCAATTTTGACCAAACCTGCCACAAAGCATCCTTGGGTAAAGTGAAATCAAGTTTGTTCAAAGGAAGGGTCACACCCTCTTTCAAAGGGAGATAATCAAGAAATGGTGAAAATTTAGTGTAATCTTTTAAAAATTTCCTCCTCAAGATCCATTGGACCAGAAAGGTTGAAACTTATATAAAACCTTCATTACATAGTGTAGATTCAATTTTGTTCAAATGATGACCCTCAGGGAAGGGTGGGGCCACAATGGGGGATCAAGTTTAACAGGGGTATAAATAGGGGAAAAGCATCCCAAAGTATTGTAGATTCACGTTTTACATATGAACAAATATAGGAAAAAATCTTTAAAATTCTTCTTCTCGTAAACAACAAAGCCATGATCAGTCATATTGACATGGAAGCATCCCAAGGTAGTGTAGATTCAAGTTTGTTCAAATCATCTCCCCAGGGTAGGGTGGCAGACATTAAAATTATGTTTTCAAGAACACAGAGCCATGATTAGTCATATATATATATATATATATATATATATATATATATAATATATATATATATATATATATATATATATATATATATATATATATATATATATATATGGAAGTATCATAAGATAGTGTATATTCAATGTTCAAAACATGACCCCTGAGGGAGGTGTGGCTAGTACAATTGATCAAAGCTTTACATATGAGTATGTAGGAGAAAAATCTGCTGATAAAGAACAGCAGGGCCATGTTGACTCAGGTGAGCGATGTGGGCCATGGGCCTCTTGTAATTATTATATATTAAGTTTTAATTATACTATGAGTAGTATAACAGGTCTGGATGGCTGGGTCAACTGAGTGCACTTTTGTCCCCCCAGATCCTGGATGGCTGGGTCAACTGAGTGCACTTTTTTTTGGGTCCCCTGGCCGGTTCAATCTAGTATACACCCTGGAAAAACCCAAGTAAAAAAGGGGGGTCTACGTTTGATCTACGTTTTGTGCTGAGTCAGGTATAGGCAATACACAATCTTGGCATCGATTCAAGTATACCATTGTGACGTCATATGTGTCATTCACACAGAGCTCTCTCTATTTTCTGAAAACGGAAAAAACAATAACACAGTAAAAAGTGTGTAAGATGATTTATTCAAAGTAAAAAATGTACATATTTACTTTTTCTTCTGGAGTTTCAGGGTCTTCTCCGTCTGGGTAGTAGGAAGTTTCCTCTTGTTGTTAGCCTGCTTTTGATCCTGACTAGTCTCTATTTTCTTTTCTAGATTTCCAATCTCATTCATTATCACTCCTCTAAACACACGAATCTCAGTAATCATGTCTTCTTTAAACTCACAAATAGTCTGTTGAAGTATCTCCATTACATTGGTCATTTGATCTAAGATATCGCATATCAAACTTCTTTCATTTCCTTCAATACTATCCTGTGTCTCTGGTAAGGTTGCAGGTGAATTCATGGACTTTTCCTCTGCCATATTTTTTTACGTCTGTCTAGTACCAAATGCCCACTAAGACTGATCCTAAAATTTCCAGCTCTGCTTTATATACCCTTTTGTACGTACTGTGTACGTCTCAATACTTAGTCTTGGATCAGCGAACTACCTATGCATTGTGACGTCATACACTGTATAAATACAGCTTTTCTCCGACTTTCAGCTCATTTTGTTGTCAGATCTATCAAGATGAATTTTGATAGTGCCTTGAAACAATTGTTACATGCACAACAACTTATGAGATGGAAAAAACGGGAGAAAGAATTAGAAAGAATTATTTCTCGACAGAGAACCAGAGAATTAGTTCTCAGGAAAAAAATGCGAGATTAATGGAAAGATTAAAGAGAGCCAAAGCCAACCGAGCTCAACACTTACAACGTTTACGGAATCTACCTGAAGAAGAAGAAGAACCCTCTCCGTCTTCGTCACCACCTCATTCACCACCACCACCACCACCGAAACCAAAACCCATTTCCCAGTATTACCAACTGAGACTCAATAAAGCTAAGCATTCCAGAAAATTTAAAGCTAAAGAAGATGTCTACAGTGTGAATTTTAAAGAATTTCCAGAGGAGGAAAACAGAGGCTTTGTTCGGCGATTATTTAGAGACATGCTACAGAATGTCAAATATCAAATGCAGTGTAACCCTAAAGATTATGTACGCCTGAACATTCACCACCCTTCTCTGGATTCCGACATTTGGTACGAGTTTACTCAATGTAAACATTTAAACGAGGACGTCATTTTAGACAAAATAGAAGCCGTGCAACAATCTAAGAAAGATTTTAAACTGGGAGACGGGTCTATGGAATTCGACATGTTTCATGTCAAATATCCAGAAGGCAGTGGTGGACAGAATACTACACACCTGATGGTCAACAAGGAGAGTTTTAAAAAGAATAAAAGATCCATCGTTCAGATCGACAATCCTTGGGATAAATTTTGTTTAGCTCGAGCCATCGTAGTCACCCGGTTACACAGTCAAAAACCGGAAAATCCAGAGAGTTTAGTTGAATGGGAAAAATTATGGAAACGCATGAGATTAGGAGATTCTCAATCCTCAGACCAGAAAAACGAAGCTATAGCTCTCATGGAACAAGCCGGGTGTGATATTCATCAGCCTTGTGGACCCGAAGAATGGGGGAAATTACAACAGGTGTTAGCCCCTCACTATCGACTGAAAATATTTCAGTTCAAGTCCACCTCCTCTAAACTCAGTTTAGAGCCCCTGTACAAAGGCTGCGGAGATGGAACTTGTTTAAATGTTTTGTTAGACCATCATCATTACGATGCCATTTTGTCTATGCCAGCTGTGACCGGCAACCCATATTACTGTGATCATTGCGATGTGGGCTACAGGAACATTACAGACCATCGTACCAAGTGTCCTTACCGATGTTCCTTTTGTTTAACGGACACGCCCTGCCCTCCAGACGGGAGCCACATTCAATGTTATCAATGCCAGGGATTTTTTCAGAGCAGAACTTGCTACGAAAACCATTTACGGCCTCACAGTAAGAATACGGCAACAACAGTGTGCAGTTTAATGGGACGATGCGAGCATTGTGAGAAATGGATGCCTAAAATGTTACTCCCTCATCATCATTGCGGAGGACAGAAACAATGTAAGATCTGTAAGAAAACTGTAGACACGGATCATCAGTGCTACGTTCAACTCAAGCCTGAGAAAAAGAAAAAGAAAGGCAAAGAGACATTACAGTTTTATATTTATTTCGATTTCGAATGTACACAGGAAAACGGCATCCACTTCCCTAATTTATGTGTGGCACACCGCGTATGTCAACATTGCGGACACTTACCCATAGAAGATCCCTGTCCTCACTGTCGACACATGGGACCCCGTCAACACGTGTTTAAAGGGCCAGATACCTTAAAACACTTCATGGACTGGTTATTACAACCCGACACAGGCAATAAGAATTCCGCCTTATTACACGACGAGGCTATCATCATTGCCCACAATTTCAAAGGATATGATGGACAGTTCATTTTAAATTACCTAGTGCATTCCGCCTGCATGACGCCTACAGTCATCATGAACGGCAGTAAAATCTTATCCATGCAAATCTGCGGATTGAAATTCATCGACTCGTATAATTTTTTACCTTTTGCTCTGTCTAAAATGCCCTCTGCTTTCGGATTCACCGAACTGAAAAAAGGGTATTTCCCTCACTTTTTTAATACAGAACAGAACCAGAATTATGTGGGGCCTTATCCACCGGCAGCATTCTACAATCCGGACGACATGCCTATAAGTGGACGACAGGCTTTTTACCAATGGTACGAACAACAAGCCGGAAAAGTGTTTGATTTCCAGAAGGAATTTTTAGACTATTGTATTTCAGACGTCGATATTTTACGACGATGCTGTGCTCAGTTTCGAGCCACTCTCAAGACCTTAGTCCATGTAGACCCCTTCCAGGAATCCATCACTTTTGCCAGTGCGGCCAATTTAGCTTACCGTCGAGGATTCATGCCCGAAGATACCATTGCCATCATTCCCAACATGGGGTATCAGCCTGCGCGTCAATATTCCGCCAAAGCCTGTCGGTGGTTAAGCTGGATGAGTCACCAGAGCGGATCTCACATACGACATGCTAGAAACGGAGGAGAAGTCAAGATCGGAACTTATACTGTAGATGGATACCAGGCAGCTACTCGTACCATCTACAAATTTTACGGATGCTATTGGCACGGATGCCCTACTTGCTATCCGAATCTACAGACCGAAACTCATCCTCACCGGACACAATTTACTTACCAGGAATTACATGAGGAAACTTTAAGGAGGAATACGGTCTTAGAGGAAATGGGGTATTCCGTACATAGTATCTGGGAACACGATTTCGATCAACAAGTA